GCATTAGTTTTTTGCAAGCCAAGATGAAGGAGAACTGGCAGCAACTATCACTTGTGGTTCTGGATTTTGTTTTCTGCTTTTAAACTAATGCTTTTTTTTCATATACCTAGATTGCAATAGGACGGCTCATAATTGTGCACGCCAAGCTTTGCATGGTTCTTTTTTGTCGACGCAGGTAGAAGACCATAGTGCCCTCTCTTCCATACTCAGAGAGGATAGATCATATTTTGGAACATCATAGGTGCACACATGCATATTTTGTAACATTTTGATCTTTATTCATACAAAGTGCAATATTTCAAGGAACCCAAGATGGGTTGATCATTAGGTGGAGAAACCAATACGCATGTTCCTTGTTATTTTTAAGCTTGAAATTCCTCAGTCATAGCTCTCCTCCATTGAATCTGTTTCACTGCTTGTGTATAACAAGCAGGATCAGGTTGGGATGTGAGTTGACGAGTCAAATTGATTTTCTGAATTGGTTTAAGATTGCCAATTTTAGTTCGTGTTAAGATAGGATGTCTTTGAGGATTTTTGAATGGATGACTGTGAAGTAAAACTTGGTATGGGGATTGGTATATCTTGTTAGAGTTTCCAAAGGTGATGTAGGATTTTGGGGATTAATGGTTATTGGTGAATTACTGTTTAAGATAGGAATTTGAAGATTGGTAACAGTAGATGGGGTAATGTTTCGAGAATTAGGTGGATGTGTGGTAGGTGTAAGAAGTGGCGAGGTATTTTGGTGTCTATACTGTTTTCCTTAAGGATTTATCTACCGCACCAGTAGCATAAGGAAAATTATTTTCATCAAATAGAACATGTCTTGAGATGATTATCTTACTTGCGATTGAATTGTAGCATTTATACCCTTATTAATGAGTAACCAATAAAAACACTTTGGACTGAATGTGGAGCTAATATTTGAGTGTCTCCAAGGATGACAACTACATCTGAATACTCTAAAATGCATATATGCAGGTACATCCCATCTTACACGCTGAAATGGAGAGATTTATCAAGTGGTTTTAATTGGCATTCTGTTGATTAAACAAACAGCAGTTTCAAGAGCTTCATCCCAAAAAGTGCATGGCAGTTGTCCATCACGAAGTAAATTTATCGTTGTTTCTATAATATGTCTATGCTTTCAATCATCCCATTTTGCTCTGAAATGTAGGGACAAGAGAATTGGTGCCTTTCAATCATCCAATTTTGCTCTGAAATGTAGGGACAAGAGAATTGGTGTATTATGTCATTATCTGTGAAGAAGTTATTCAATGATGTGTTAGCATACTCCCCAACCCTATCAGATCTTAACACCTTGATTTTGGTATTTAAATTGAGCGCATAATGATGCAAAAATGTTGAATTTGATGACATGTTTCAGATTTGTTGTACATAGGAACCCAGCAATACCTTGAAAAATCATCTATGAAAGCTATGTAGACTCTATATCTTTGATATAAAAAGATTGCGGAAAGACCTCATACATCTGTATAAATCAATTTTAGATGTTTTTTAGCAATGACAATAACTAGAATTAAAAGGTTAATTATGACTATTATTTAGATTGAAAGAAATAAATGACATTTGATAAAAAGGAATTTTGAACTCTTGTTTTCTGGAGATATTATGAATAATCTCAGAATAAGGATGCCCCAATCTTTTATGCCAGAGAGCAACAAAAGTAGATTTTGTAATGGAAGTAGAAAGAATCATTGAACTACAATAGTTCATCAATAATAGCAACTTTTTCAAATATAAAAAGATAATATTTGATATGTGGCCAGCATTACAATATAATATTTGATATGCAACCACCATTACAATATTTATTAATTGATAGAATCATTGAACTTTACAACTCTTTATCCTCTCATTATGCAAGTAATCCAAACTAGGTGATATAACCACAGATACATAAGGATTCAAAAGAATTATTGTCCTAGATGTTGTTATGTATCATTATGCATATTTAAAATTTGCTCAACTTAAATCATATATTCTTAATGAAAACCAAATAAATAAAGATGGTGAATCTTATATGACATAAATTTCCTAATTTTAAGTTATATGATATTTCATGAAATATTATCAACAATATACTAGGCAACATGACCATCATTAGTGGGAAACTTACAAATCAAATATAAGTTATTACGAGCAGGATCAAAACCAAACGCTAGATAGATTTTCATTTTAAGATTTGATGAAATTGTGCTCATAGAATATTAAATTTAAGGATACTTGATGCATTCTATCATATCATGTCATAGTTCCCACATTCTTCCAACTAATGTTCTATATATAACCTCATAATTAGAAATATTAAAATATATGATAAACAATAAAACTATTTTTAAAAAAATAGTAAACATGAATTTGAATATAAAAAGATAAAAATATAGCAAACATAATGTTGAATAGGATAAACCCCAACATCATGAAAGTGCTCATGAAAAGCTGAAATAATAAGAAAATCTTGTTGAGCTACTAAAGTGGAAAAGAATATTTCACTAGACAACATTGCTTATAAAAGAGCATGAATGAAAACACATTCAGAATTTGTGGAAAAGGCATGTAATAGATAAAAAAGATCGTGGTGAGTAGAGTTTTGGTCATTTAGAAATGTCCTTCTGAAATGAGGATGTCTAATTAACTGTTTCAAATGGTAGATAAAAATAATGGTGTTAAATCAGATTAACACGTCGAGTTTAGGTCTATCAAGTATTAAAAAAAAAATGAAAATTGAGCTTCTCTTTTTTGAGGATTATCATTAAAACTAGGCAACACAAGTTGTGGCCTAGTCAACAATGTTGGATATGCATTCTCTTTTTTGGATATGATCAAATTTGAGTGAAGCTGTCACAACTTGATCCGATGCAATTCGTCATATTGAGGCCAGTCGACACGTTTCAAGGGCGCGCCAATTATATAAATATCCATTATCTATTTGGAAAGAATTTTATTTATTAAATTTTCTTCAATTTTCACGAAACATAGGGCTACTTATATCATTAAAATATCAAAAACAACAATACTCAAAATTTATTCATATCATATCACAAACTATATAACAAAAAAAAGTAAACACAATAATCATGCAAATAAAATATGTATATCATAATGACTGTCAAAAATATATCTGAAGTAGCAATATAACAAAGATCGACTCTCAAGAATAACAAATAGTCCCTACTCAACCTGAGTCTTGCCATTATCTAAATTAGCACATATGAATAAAATAAGAGTGAGCAATGACAACTTTGTAAACTGCTCAAAATCAACTATAATTTTCAATACACAAAAGAAAAAAAGAACAAATAGTAGTTTTTAATGAACTAAAATAATATGACGTGTTTTTTCAATCAAATATGATGTTAATACAAGAATCAATATTCACAGTAGGCTTATGTTGAGCAATAGTGTAAACAAGATAATATAAAAAATAAAGTAAAATACTATGAAATAATAATTTATTTATTTATTTAAAATATTTTATAGATTTTAACTCACCCCTTATATCTCAACTTACCCATATTTCATTTTTGTTCATTATGTCTCCTCCGCTTCCATTTATAACTCTACTTGTTCCCATCTATTCAAACACATCAAACATACACATAGAGAGACAATTATATAGGTGCTCAAAATCTAATAAATTTACTTGAAAGCACATAGCATGCAATCACCTAGCTATAATTACATACACTTATCCCATTTTTGTTATTTTTACACATTTTTTAGACAGAAGCGTAGAACTATCAATAATTTTAACATATGCAAATATCATCAAATATGCAACAAAATCTATAAAAATGGATATGTATACCTCATAATTAATTTCAGGGAGAAATTAATATGCACATAATAACAATCACAATTTGTAAAATTATTTATATATAACATTCAAAATAATATTTCATAATTGTTCTTATTCTATAGCAAACTTTATAGTGTTCAATATACTTTCTAAAATACATAAAATATTGTACAACACAAAATACTCAGTAAAAAATTAATTTTTATATGTGAATGTGTCCAACATATTCTATTTTTATAACATATAAAAGATTACGCGATTAAAAGTTTGTAATATCCATAGATATGAGTGATTAAAATTTTATCAAATAAAATAATCAAATTTTAAAATGACAAAATTGAAGTCTAAAGTAGCGTAACAATAGCCTACCTAGAGCCGATCAATTTTTTCATATAACTCATTTTTATATTGAGTATCAATTCATTGATCATCAAATCATCCAAAATAGCAAGGCCAACTAAAATT